TTTTGAGCAGTGTAGAGTAGCGTTTGTAGTTTGTCATTTCTCTGATCACAAATGCACACATGGTTTTATGTTTACGCGGCAGTGTAAGTCATTATAATCAGTAATTATGTCCCCACTGGATGCAACAAATGCCTAGTTTGTAACGGGTTTTCATGTTTTTTGTTTCGTCGCTCCGGCCGGGACACGGCATCAACAGTATGGCGAGGGGCGTAACATTTCTGTCACACGCTTGAGGTATTTTTGTAAAAATCGACGCGTTTCAAAAAGGCGGGGCATAGAGGAGAAACAATAATGTACAGTATGTTCAGTATACTGTAAACAATTTTTTTTTTTTTTTTTTTTTTGTATTTGGCCAATTCTGGCACAGCTGATTGCACACACTCTCACTGCGTCATCAAAATTGTATACTAAACAAAGCCTTATCAGCCTTGTACAGACTTTGCACTTTTGAGACAGTCCTTTATAAAGAGGGGTTGTGTTCAGCGTTTGTAGCTGCCGCTCTTTATGATGGACCTTACTCGAATTCCAAAAAATTAATAATGACTGATGTTACTGCACCCACTGTGTCTGGTGCTTTCCAGGTGTGATTCAGGGCTGGTGCATGAGTAATATAATTACTAGGTTACTGAGAGCTGCTGTGCAAAGAATCTATATGGTCTTTCACATTTTATGTTAGTATTTTTTCTTTACTGTGAGTTCATTGCTTAACTCTTGGTTTACTCTCCTTCAGCAAACAAAAGGAACGTATACGATCGATATGGAAAAGAAGGCTTAACTCCAGGTGGAGGTGGAGGTAAATTGCATCCTACAGTAAATTTTAATGATATGGTGTTTGGTCCGAATTAATTCCTAATTTGGAATAAATATAAGTATATAAATAATATGACAGTATGCCAGTCTGTTATGTTTGAACCTTTCATTTTTTTCCTCATTTGGACAGGAGGAGGAAGAGGACACTTTAATAATGACCACTTTTTCACATTCCGCAATCCAGATGATGTTTTCAGGGAATTCTTTGGTGGACAAGATCCATTTGCAGAATTCTTTGGTGAGTTTGTATTTACCTCAGTGTTTTTTTGTGTGCGTTCATTAGCAAAGTAGATTTTCACAGGCAATTCCATAGACCTTATGTGCCAGAGAAACAAGTGCACAGCCATCTTTAGAATTTTGTCTTTGAACTTCCGTTTTTGCGGTAACTTTTATCATGAGCATGGTAATGTTTGAAGCGGATGTCATAACAAATGTCAGTAGATCGGCAAGATTTTAAAATGAGCGGTTCATTCATAAATCTGTAAGGTCTTACCTTCATGCTGTGGAAATACAATCCGGAAGACAGAAGACGACAAGCACAACACTGAAAAGGGGCGGAGCTACATAAGGTCTTTAAATGCTACATTCTTTACATTTTTAGGTGGAGATCCATTTGACAATGACTTCTTTGGTGGCGGTCGACGTCACCACCACCACCAGCGGGGCATGAGCAGGAGCCGGACAGGAGGCTCCTTCTTTGGGGGCTTTGGGGGATTCCCACCTTTTGGAGCAGGATTTTCATCTTTTGATGCAGGTCAGATGTTACAAATATGTTTGTGCTTCAAATCAAACTCTTTTCAATTGATGTAAACGTGCAAACACAAACTGCTCAAAATAAAGACCAAAACTGACCAAAAAAAATTCTAAAACTTGTACTAGAAGTCAAACGTCAGGGTGTATATCTTTTTATAGGTATAAGGCCGTATAAATTTACATCGATGTGCAACTCATGGATTAGAAAACTTTTGAAAATGTCTTTTTTTGGTGCCATAGTATTTCTATCTTTCTTTACTTCTTTTTTTTTTTATTTTTATTTCATTAGGTTTCTCTCCCTTTGGGCATATGGGAGGAGGTGGATTTACTTCTTTGGCCAGGACGCGTCCTGGGAAAATGGCACGTATGGTCACCCTATTATATAATGCAACACTGTCAAAGTTTATTAATGAAAGATATTAAAGTGTTCATGGAAGTGTCATTTAAAAAAGCGTTGTAAAGAGAAGGGTTTGATAAGTATGGTGTTTAAAAAAAAAAAAAAAAATAATAATAATAATTTTGTTAAATTATGGATAGTTATCAATGAAAGGAATCATGAATTTTGTTACGCATAATAACATTTGTTAGCTGTTGCCTTTTAATGTCCTTGATCAATGCCTTCCAGCTCTGCCAAATGAAGCTGGCTGCAGTGCTACCAGAATGCATGGCTAACTAAACTAACAAGCTTTGTGATTTTGTTTTATGCTCTCTAAATGCATCTCTATCTCTGGATGTCAGAGGTGTAGTATGCATAACGCAGAATTATCATCATCAAAACAGTTTGGGGAAACTGGTCTGGTAATATAAAGTAAAAGTGGTTTTGAAAAACATCTTTTTAAATTAAATGCAGACATTAATACACTCATTAAAATAGTGCTCTTCCCCCATCTAAACTAAACCACACCCCTCTCTCTAGGAAAAGCCCAGGAGATAGGCATGCTGGAGGGTCACAGACAGAGGAAGGAGCTCCCTGACTCCTCGTCCTCCTCCTCCTCCTCCTCACATTCTGCAAGGCAGTCAGCTCAGAGAGAGGAGCAAAATAAAACTACAGGCAAAGGTCAGAAGCCCATTTCATATTTCGTGTGAGATTCCAGCAGCTCGAGCATGATCTTTGTGATACTTAAAAGTTATGTATCTCAACAGAGCAAACTGGAGTGAAGAGGAAGGGAATGACGGTGAAGGGAGAGACCAAAAAGGCCAAAGAGTCCTAAATTTGTCTCTGCATCTCAACTCATAGTACTGATAGTCTGACATACTGTAGCTGTGGATATTCTGTGTTGAGGTTGGAAAAACTCGCTAGCAATTTTTGTTGTTGTTTATTTTTTTTAGATGCAAAGGTCAAATTTATTATTTTAAGTTTTTTATGCCGATACTAATCGATAACTAATAGTAAATCATCTGCTCTGAAGAACTGTGACTGATACGTAAATAAAAAAAAAACTATGAAAATTAATAGTTTTAATGAGAATCTGTGCAAGCAAGCATTTCTCATTCACATGATCCACACAATTTATTAATAAACAAAATAATAATTTTGTTAAATTATGGATAGTTATCAATGAAAGGAATCATGAATTTTGTTACGCATAATAACATTTGTTAGCTGTTGCCTTTTAATGTCCTTGATCAATGCCTTCCAGCTCTGCCAAATGAAGCTGGCTGCAGTGCTACCAGAATGCATGGCTAACTAAACTAACAAGCTTTGTGATTTTGTTTTATGCTCTCTAAATGCATCTCTATCTCTGGATGTCAGAGGTGTAGTATGCATAACGCAGAATTATCATCATCAAAACAGTTTGGGGAAACTGGTCTGGTAATATAAAGTAAAAGTGGTTTTGAAAAACATCTTTTTAAATTAAATGCAGACATTAATACACTCATTAAAATAGTGCTCTTCCCCCATCTAAACTAAACCACACCCCTCTCTCTAGGAAAAGCCCAGGAGATAGGCATGCTGGAGGGTCACAGACAGAGGAAGGAGCTCCCTGACTCCTCGTCCTCCTCCTCCTCCTCCTCACATTCTGCAAGGCAGTCAGCTCAGAGAGAGGAGCAAAATAAAACTACAGGCAAAGGTCAGAAGCACATTTCATATTTCGTGTGAGATTCCTGCAGCTCGAGCATGATCCTTGTGATACTTAAAAGTTATGTATCTCAACAGAGCAAACTGGAGTCAAGAGGAAGAGAATGACGGTGAAGGGAGAGACCAAAAAGGCCAAAGAGTCCTAAATTTGTCTCTGCATCTAAACTCATAGGACTGATAGTCTGACATACTGTAGCTGTGGATATTCTGTGTTGAGGTTGGAAAAACTCGCTAGCAATTTTTGTTGTTGTTTATTTTTTTTAGATGCAAAGGTCAAATTTATTATTTTAAGTTTTTTATGCCGATACTAATCGATAACTAATAGTAAATCATCTGCTCTGAAGAACTGTGACTGATACGTAAATAAAAAAAAAACTATGAAAATTAATAGTTTTAATGAGAATCTGTGCAAGCAAGCATTTCTCATTCACATGATCCACACAATTTATTAATAAACAAACACAACCAATGTACAATGATTTTCAGTAATAAAACAGGTCTTGCCTTTGGTTGAATTTATGGTCAAACTTTGTAACATTTAACACATTCCTTATAGACACAATGCTAGATGCTTGGTATTTGGTTTCAGCCTTGGTTGTTTTACAGAAGCAAGGTCATACTGAGAAATATTAGCCACATCATCACAGTTTATGAGTAAATACAACAACTCTGTTCAAACAATGTCTTGTTCATGACGTTTTCATGAATTTGCAGACTCCCTTCTTTCTGGCGGTCACTGCCCTGAGCAGTGGACCCCATTTGCTCCTACTGAGGAGTTTCTCTTTCATTTCTTGAAAGACTGGGGGTCCGTCATGTTCTTCGGCCTCTGAGCTGATCTCCATCTTCTGCACTATAAGCTTTAGCAGGTTGTGTTGCTTTTCCATGGTCTCTGACATCTCCTTCATCCTGAGAAGATTCGCAGCACATGGTCAGGTTAGATCCCATGTTAAATTAAACGTAGATGAAAATGAGGATGTGAGGGATAGACTTAGTCTTTACTCACAACTTTCAAAACTGTTTTATGAAGTTTTTGTCTACTGAAAGCTTTTCTGCTTTGAAAGCTGAACAATCAATATGTTAAACAACAATACATTTCACTGAACGCACTGTACTTACAGCCTAGATTTTATTCCTGTCAACAATTAAACATGGCCCTGCCTAACGTATATTGGGTTTAATTCAGGAATTGATTAACTTAATTTTGGCTAACGAAGTTTTTTGTCAGGTTGGTGTTACCTGTATTTCTGTTTGGTTAGCTCCCGTTCCAGTGGAGTTAACTGGTAGATGGTAGGACTGAGACGGGTCCTGAACTTCCTCACCTCATTCCCACAGAAAAACCATATTTTCTGTTCACAAACACATTAAATCTGCCTTAACAAGTGATGGAAAGTTGTTTTTTAACCTAAAATTGTTTTTTTTCAGAAAATACTTCATATAGCTTTGTGTTAGTAAAATACATGAAAAATATGTATTTACCATCTACCGCACAATTATCAAATTTGGTTTGCCCTTTGAAACATGAACATTATCTTATTATTGTGTTGTGCTGTCAGACCTTTCCACTGAAGCATCTGTTTGGGAATTCTTTGAGGATGACCTGGTCCACCCGTTTCATAAACCAGTAGGGAAGCCTCTCCTCTAGATTAGTGTGAAGTTCAATCTGTGGAGCAGAATGACAACAAATCATTGTTTTTAGGGGGAAAAAATGTATTCTTATTATTAGGACACAGTATTAGTGTGTTGGTGTTGAATTACCTGCATTGCAATCCTCTTTAAACAGGCATTTGTCTGAACCTCTGCTATGTCACCAACAGCCAAACCAATCTAAACTCAAAATACACGAGTTTGATGTGTAATCTGGCATAGTGGACTTTTTTTTTAATATATTTAATTCAGATCCTGTTTTCTTTAGGACTTACCAGCAGGTTCATGAGAAGAATAGGCACAAGCAAGACAAACCAAACGAAGATTGACAATGTCAAAAGGGGGAAAGGAAGGTCTCCTTGCAGGAAGGGTTTCAAGAAATTGTCCTGGTAGTTGATTTCTCCTACCATCATGACAAAGGTCTGCAGCAGTGACAGGAACATCCTCCCGAAATGTTGCTGTAAAATTAATTCATATATTAAACTTAACCTATAAAACTAAACATTAAGACTAGTGTTCCAAAATGTCCACAAATTGTCATATTAATCTTTATTAGGTTTAATAATCATTTAGTAACACTCATATACACACCTGTTCGATCATCAAGGCATAGAATGCCAATGCAAATCCCAATATCAAGTAAAAGAACAGCAAAATAATGCTCAGCAGTGTCCGTGAGATCTCCCGAAACATTACCACATAAATACCAATCCGTTCAAACCTAAAGACATGAGAGATACAGATAAGTCCTTGAAAATTGTATGAAATGCTTCTGCTCTGTGGATGTATTAGTCACTCTAGCAGGCCAATACCGCTGGAGATAGAGGAGGAGATTCATCCAGGAGGCCAGAGCTGCCAGTGCTCCAGCCTGCCAGTGCCAGGAACTCTTCACGGTCAGCAGTAGCGGCACCACGAACACTAGAGAACAGATCGCAGCGGCCCAGTCCATGTAGTTAGACAGATCCCGCAAATAATTCACCCGCTTGCAAAGGCAAGACACAGTTTAAATGATTAGGCTTACAGTACTTTAACTTGCAGATCTTTTCAAGCTCATAAAGTGGTGAGGCTGTCAGAGGAGTCAATTGAGAAGATGAGCGTCCTCAAAATTATATTGCACTTTTTGCATTATCATCATCGTTATTAGTATTATTATTACACTGTAGCCCAGACACATCGCTCTTCTCGTTACTCAACTGACCAATTAGAAGATTGCAACAGAAATTGAAAGAAACTTTCACATCTTGCCAAAATATTGATGAAATCTAGATTATTACGAATCTCTCAAAACACGTAAACTTGACAAAACACACGTCGACTAAACTTGAGGTATAACTTAATTTGACCATAATGATGGAGTTCTTCTACGCAAAGGGTTAGTACATGTTAGATCAAATTAATGGTTAAATATTTATAATTGTGTAAATATTTATAAATGTACATTTATTGACCATTTATGTTGTGTTGGTGATCGGTGAGATTATAATGCGTTTATGATTATATTGAGATTATAATGCGTTATTAGGCCTAATTAAGAACATCTTTGCACGGGATCATAATCAAATCAGAAAACATAATATAAAAATCAGATCGGTTCCAAGCAGTTATTGGTTTGATCAGTATCAACTATCAAACATTTCCGCAAGACCCGTTCATTCATTCATTCATTCATTCATTCATTTGCTTGCTTACTTATTTGACTACTTACAGGTAAGGCTGGAAATATAAAGTGCAGCGTATACAAACCTGTTGAATTATTTGCAGGATCTCTTTCCCAACTGCATACATATTCATTGCAAGAACCAGGATCATACATGCTGTGATTATATAGGATTGCTGTATAGAAAGAGAAGTTGCGTCATAGTTTTTTTTCTTCTTTGTCTTTCTTGATGAATTGCTTTAGTACAGGGTTCCTCAAATCTTGCCTTGGAGGGCCTATGCCCTTCAGAGTTTAACTCCAGTTTGATCAGGGTTTGAGCTAAACTCTGCAGGGCAGTGGCCCTCCAGGACCGTACTGCTTTCGTATATTGTACCTTGTACAGGGACGTGCAGACCATATTGACTGATGTGACATTTCTTGCAGTGACCAGTGTGGGCTTCAGATTCACAATGAGATATGTTAGAGGAAACACCCCCAGGGCATACACAGTCATATTGAGCAGATGTGCTTTGATCCCATAGGCATTCCTGTTGAACAAAAATGTTAATTAGCTCAGGATGCTGAGACATCAAAATTTAAGATTCACGTTTCAGCTGTATAACTCACCATTTCATCTCCAAATATTTCTTGCAGACCGGATGTGTCAGCAAACTGACAAGGTTAAAATTCACCATAGCCTGTAGCGGAGACACATTTTCTGAACGTGGCCATTCACAATTAACACAGCTATAACATAGGTTTTGTAAAGTACCAACATTTAGTGCACTGAGAGGTTTGTAGGTGTTGTCTTTTTCCATGCCTGTCTTTTTAAGGTTTTGCAGTGGATGCTGAAGCCACCTGAAATTGTACTCAATCTGGAGAACATACAAAGTGTTAGCTGAAGAGGTTGATATACTTTATGCATCTAGTACAAAAGGAAACTTACGTAGTAATTGGTGCTGTTAACATCTTCCTCTGATTCCTTTATGCAAGTGTCTAGAAGATGCTGGGGAAACATGCAATGCCCTGCTGGTTAGAGTGTTAAACCTTTAATTTAAGTGTCAGGCTGAAGCAACAGTAAAAACTCACTTTAAAGGACTCTGGAAGAAACTCAATCATGTCCATGACAATGCAACGTTTTGATGAGTTTGGTTTGTACGTTGTCATCGCCTCTTCACATCTGTATTCAACAAAGATGAGATAAATAAAGAAACTGGGAAACACATTTCAAACATTTCTAGAAATTGGCCAAGCTGACCTGTCACTCTCGATCACAGTGTTGGTGACCTCCTTCCTCCCGTTATGTACGGCCTCATGCAAGAAAGAGGCATCATTCTTGTTGAGGATGATCTTGGCCCCTCTGTATAACAGCAGTCTTACTGTTGCCACATGACCTGCTCTAGCAGCCAGATGCAAAGCTGTGTTCTAAAAGAGATCAATATTTAGAGCACCACAATCGATAATTTTCTGTAAGTGTACAATTTGAAATAACTTTTTATTTTTAATATATTTTCAAATGTAATTAATTCCTGTGATGGCAAAGCTTCAGAAATCATTCTAATGCAAAAGCATATATTTGAAATATACCGCCACATTTGATCAGTTTAATGCATCCTTGCTCAATAAAAGTGTTAATTTCTTTATATACGCATATAGAAGGACAATGAAAAATATAATAGTAGGCCTAATATTAAAGTCATATACATTTAAGTATAATATATTATAAAAAAAGTCTACCATGACTTAAACATGTCATAGAAGTGAACTAAACAATTGTCTCACTGAATTTGAAGGAGAACAGCTGTTATTGGGGAAG